CTCGGTGGTGCCGTTTATCTCTCAGTGAAAACAATCTGCGAGTGATTCATTGCGCACGAAAGTGTAACGTCAACCTCCAACAATGAGTTGGACCTCCAGCCCGGGCTGTAGTTTTGCTCAGTTTTATGCTATTTCAGTGTCACTGCTGCCATCAGCATCCGCCTCCCAAGAAAGCTCAAACCTCACACTTTGTGACCAGTTAAGAAGCTTCCCCAGCCAGTTTCTAGACATCTCATTGACTTCACGTCGCTTCTTAGGATTTGGTTTAGTGACAGACACAACGTTTAGAGCCTGAGACGGAGCTTTGATCACTCCGCTTAGCTCCACAGTTATTGTTTTGTTTTATTTCAGTGTATTTTGCTCATTTCCCAGACGTGCTCGTAAATCAAGCCGACGGTTCTGAGTCACACTTGAATGTGTTCAGAACTGCAAGTAATTACAAAAGCTCAATCACACTGGAGGGCTGCGTAACAAGAACAAGAGTAAAGTGTTTGTAGCTGAAGCCAGTGAGCATGTTTATTATCTGAACACGTGAAGCATCACCTTTGAATTCTCTGCATAGTGAGCTTCTGTATGTTTGTGGACACGCTGGTCTGAGTACATGTTGTGTATATTGTGTATTCTGCGTCTGCTTTATCACAACTTTGCCTTCTTGATGAGCTCCACTTTACGCCAACATCTGTCTTCATTTTTCATTCTTTTTAGCGAAGCTGTCACTGGACACTTTGGATCCTAGTTCATGTGTTTTCTCAGAGGGAATGAGGGATCAGACCTGGGAAGGGATGATAGATTTGAGGCGGATCAGGACTTTCTTTTGCAGCTGGTCAGAGATGAAGGTTTTCTCGTTACAGATGATGATTAAAGAACATGGAGATGAACTGTTACGCTTCCAAACGTATTTTCATGCCTGAGGCCAGAGGCTTCAGGTTGTCCATCAGTCCTATTCTCGTGATTGCATTATCTCCAGATTGCCTTCAGGGGATTTTCCTTAAATTTAGTGCTTTGACTCGAATGAACTGATTCGATTTTGATCGTCAAATGTTGCTCAAACTTTTTTGGTCATAACTCCAGAATTCATTCTTTATTTATGACAAAATGTCGTGCGAAATGCTAAAAGGATCAAACAATGACGTGATTAGATTTGATATTCCAAAGGTCAATCACTACATTTGGACGTGGTTGTCAATTACAATTTGACTCGTTGGTGGAGACATCCAGACATGAGGTTGTGATTCTGGTTTATTTTGGTAGATTTTTTATTTTTTCCCTACTTGGTGCATGAATAAACTTCACTGAGGGTCAAATGTACATTAGTCATGGTAACGTGGCTTTATGGATGTTAATGTCAGCCCACTGGTTTACACTGAGATATGTCCATAAGAATACATCAGATCAGGTTTTTATAAACACTGTGGCTTTCAGTCCCAGAGCTTTGGGGACTTTTCTTCGTCACAAAGCACAACAAGTGTTGGATGGTGTGTTAGCATTGCTACTGTGAGCAGGTTAGCATGCTGATACTTGAATGAAGTTAAAGGTTAAAGATTAGCTAAATGATTTCTTTGATGTCGTGCGTACCGTAAGGAGAAGCTGAAGAAATATGTGAGAAGTCGGCCTTGTGCTGACATGAGTTGTACAGAAGTGTCTGGATGAGTGTCACTAGTGTCAGATCTCACATGGAGTCCAGATAGTGGTGGTGGAATAGATGTGAGGAAAGATGCCAGAGACCTGACTGGGTGTGATATGATTCAGGACTACTGAAGTGAAAACACGTTGTAAAATTACGTTGTGAATTGTCTGTACTTCTGTAGCAGCTTCTTAACCTTAGACAGGGATGAAGAAAGTCGCTCTCTTTTCTTGTGATGGTCACCAGACCCTTTGATTCCACCACATTGTGTTCATTGTTCTCTTACCTCCTGTCATTGATCAGCAACTGTATGCTAGCTAACCACTATTCATATCAATATGTACATCCAGGCCGTCCCTACCCTCTGACATACCCTATAGAAGGTGTAAATGTTCTGTGTCGGCTAACCTTCACAGACTCGTGCTCCATGCTGGTGAGACCACCGTATACCAGAATACTAAAAAACACCCACTACAGCAAACTTCACATGAGGACTATGGGTACATTTTCTTCAACACTAGGTTCATACCACTGCAAGGTGCTCGCCTGCCATCGGGAGAAACTCGGAGGTCTTGCCCAAGGACACATGGACGCATGGAGGGTGTGGGGATCAAACCACCGACCTTCCAATTAGGGGACGACTCCCTCCACCGCATGAGCCGCAGTTGCCCCGGATGACATCTAGAAGAGTTTTATTGGCTTAGAGACCGAGGTTGTAGCTCAATTGGATTGGTTTAACGGCGGGAGGAACAGCTGATGTGATGGGATGAAAGTGTAACTGGATAGTGATAATCTTCTAACTGAACTAAGCTTGATTTAGCTCAGAGCACAACTGTATGATATTTATGGGATGCCACTTTGATCACATTGGGAGTGAATGTGTACAATACACACGGCATAGCAGGTGAACGTGTGCGTGACCTTTTCATTCTGAAGCTACGATTTAAGCGGCCAATATTCACACAATTTCCCAAAAAGCTTTGTGAAAAGTTCCCTGATGTCTTTGGTGTTTTACATTTCCAGGCGGTGTGAACTAAATCCTCTGAGTTGAGACGTTGGGCGATAGCTGCTGGGAGAGTCGAGGGCATTAGGGGGCGACCAGGTCTATCAGTGACAACATGGTTAGATTGCTGACTTTTCTTTTCCTGAACGACATCAAGATGGTTTTCTTAAGCTGCTCCAGATCTGCCACTTCCACTGCAAAGCTCCTGCCTTGAACCCACTGACACCCTGCCCGGCTTGACGGCCTGCCGGTCGGGACCAGAGACAACCTTCGCTTTCGGCAGAACTGAAAGCTTTCAGCAGCCTGCGGTGTGCTGACACTGCAGCCGGCATCCTGGACGGTCATCAAAGAAACTAACTGCTCTGCTGGCTGATGAGGAGATCAATAATTTACTCCCTCCTTTTCCTCTTTTCCATGAAAGAGAATGTCTTAGAGTTGTTTTTTTTTTCTCCCCAAACTGAGCGAGGAAATGAAAAGAAGTTTAAATTCTCTGGGATTCCCCAGAACCTCTTATGTTATGTTAATAATAGCCTGTTGATGTCTTTACTTTTGGCCCAATCCCCCCTCTCTTTTGAAGACTTTAATTTTTCCGGTTTCCGTCTTCAGGAATCTATCCATAGCCGCTTTTATTCCATAATTACCACTGAATGGCTTGGCTGCCATTCAGCGACGTGACCTCTCGCCTCCTAATCGTCAGCATCACTAACTGCTTTTAATAAACAGTCCTTTTAATAATTCAATTTGTCCTGCTCGACTCGCTTGACCTCGCCCCAGAGGCACCCGGGAACAGTCGTGTCACTGTTTGCGGGGTTTGAGCTGCGATGACCCACTGAGATGTGGGATCGTCTCCCTCGCTGTTTGCCAGTCATGCTAGTTAGCGTGTTGAATGTCACGTCACGTGTAAAGAGCCCCCCCTCCGACTCCTCCAGCGTGTTATTCAGCAGCCGTGTCAACAAGCTTTGTCCAGAATAACACCAAGTCTGTCAGTTGTTTGTGCTGAAGTGAGGGATTATATCTATATATATGTATACGTCTCTATCCAGCTGCTTCTCTAGAGAGAGAGACAGAGACAATCTTTAAATTGTGATGTGCTGAAGAAGATGAGTCCTGCACAGTATTTGTTTTGTGCAATAAGCTACCAGGTCAAACCAAATGATCCACGCTGTAGACGTAGTGAAAAGCCTGATGATGTCAACCAGAGCTAATGGACCGGTCACACAAATGTGCCGCCACAAGAATTTCAATCAAGCTGAGTGTGTTGCGTAACAGAAGTGAGCGGTGCGTTTGAAGGGTTCTGATCATTGGTAAATCAAATTCCACGTATTGAAGCCGCCACACTGTAAATAAATAAATGTTTGAGTTGATATCGGAAGTTGTGCTGCTGCTGCTGCTGCGCTCCGTCCTGAAGGTGAAGCGGTGCCAGAAGCCCACTTTGTTCTATTAAAGGTTTACATCTGGAGCCAGAACCAGAACCAGGGAGCTGGAGAGTGTGTGGCTGTAATATATGCGCTCATCTGGTTTAAAGTGATCAAGGTTTCAGTCGTTGAGATGAAGAAGTCACTGGAAAATGCTCGAGTCAGTTGTAGGATTTTATACGTAAAGTTATGATTTCAGTGTAAATGAGACTATAAATCATGTTTGCTTATTTTAATTTGCTCATTTACGTTGATTTTTATGATATTATTGCTCGTTTGTATGTATTTCCATCCTGTGTTTGTCGACATTTCTCTGCTTTTTGCCCTCAAACTAACCAGCAGACCAACAGTCATGTCTCTGCACCAAGAACTTTATATTTTATATTTATATTTGCATCCTCTTTTTTTTTTCTTTTTTCCATATTTGGACCAAACCACCAGAACAAATTCCTCGTATTGTGTAAAGTAAACACACATGGACAGAATAGTTGGTACCCCTCAGTTAATGAAAGAAAAACCCACAGAATGGTCACAGAAATAAAATGAATCTGACAAGTTGTGGGACAAAATATTAAGTTAAGGTACCATCATTTTTGTCCAGGCCTGTTTCATGAGTTTATTTTTTTTTAAATAATTCTGTTGAGCCGCGGTTCAAAAGCAACGCCTGATTTTCATTCGTTCATTTTCATAGAATTTTTATTTATTATTACTTTTGTCAGATTCAAGTTATTTCTGTGACCGTTGTGGGTTTTTCTGTCATTAACTCAGAGGTACCAACAATTTTGGATTCCTTTGTTCTCTTTTTTCACCTGAACAAAAGAGAAAAACTTATATTTTTAAGCTCAACACTGGAACTACAATAACAGCTTAAAGTGCGACTGAAGCCGGTGGAATGATTAAATGACCTGCTCACATCTCGTCTAACGTCTTCTCTGTGTCTGTGGGTGTCTCTCCTCAGTGGGCTGTACCTGCCACGCTCTGTTCGACCGGTTCCTGGAGGAGAGCCACTCTGATCAGCTGTTTCCTCGGCACCTGGAAGACGACAGTCAAAGTAAGAGTCGTGATGCTCGCCGGTGCTTACGTACAAACAGAAAGCACGTGTTCCCTCGAGCACATGTGTGATTATTACGATCACTCGCAGTAATTACACGCTTCAGAATGAGTATTTATTTGAAGGGCACCCGAGAGACTGAAATCTGTTTAAAGGGCAACAACGACTATATTGCCAATTATCCACCGAGAGAGTCTTGACCTTTGCGGAGCAGAAAACTACCCGGCATGAATTTCAAGTGCAAGTTTGACTCGAGTTGTAGCAGCACAGCTCTTCATAGACGATGAACACAATCGTACACTCACACCACGAAGCTGTTTTTTAAAAATATCATTTGAAACTCCAAAAAATGTTTAATGAAGTTTCTGTGTTTTAACCCTGGAGGGAGTCCGGTGGCTGTTTGCCAGTTTCCTCTCCAGCCATCACATGATGTCCTGAATGCCTCGTCCGTCCCCGTCCTGCTCATCAGCGCCTCAGACAGACACACAATCACTCAAGTTTTTACAAAGGATCCGTCTGTTTGGCTGCTAAACAGATTTTGGGCTTAAATTAAGTTTACTGGAAACTTACGGCGTGAGCCAGACGTGGTTGGTCTGAGCTGCAGGTCACCGTCCAGGTGTAGAAGCAGACGTTCTAAAAGTTGTATTAGATTATTTTTTAAATATTTTGCAGTTCTTTTCCATGAACTGATGCATTTAACCAGTCTGTAGATCCTCAGTCCAACAGCTCACGTGTGATAATAATCAGTAAACAGCAACCAAACAGAAGAGTCCAGATGGTCCGTGATGACGCTCCGCGGGTTCCGTCCGCATGTTTAGATTTTCTCAGGGCGATGTTTTCTCAAGAACATCTTGAAATGTATTTCTCATAACTCACCCGCCAGCCCACACCGCCATCAAACACAAAGACGTCCTCTTTATTTATCCCCCTTTCTGGAATTCTGGCTCATTTTTGAGGAGCAACGCACACTGTTTGTGCGCTTTAAAGTTTTGTTGACAAGTTGGGTTTCAAAAAGTCTTCGTTCCATGTGTTAAATTTAGTACGATTTTGTGCTTTTAAGCCTCTCAGAACAGGCATATTTCATCAAAGTAGCGCGCCGCCCTGCCAATATGTACTGCAGTTGAGAATTTAAGCATTGCTTTGGTCTTTTATTAAATTTATTGTCATGCGTACAGAAGACAGGCAATACCACGACATCAACGGCTGTCATTGCTGTTTGTTTTTTAATCTATAATATTTTATGTGTTGCAGTTACTTCGTGTGATTTCGAGTCGCTGTGTCTCTGGACCTTGTCAAACAACAGCACCCACAGCGACTGGTCGGTGGCGTCACCGCGGCGACCGGCCGGGATGCTGCCGGTGACGGACCACTCTGTGGGGAGCTCTGATGGTAAGAAGCTAAACGAGTGCTCCAGGATGCCGCTCACTCCTTCTTCTTCTATGAAGCATAATTAAAGTTATACTCAGAAGTGCAGTTTGAAAGAGTTTACTTCTGTGTTTGATATTCTAATGCACAGTCGGAGGTTTGTTGAATGATCTACGGCGGTGACAGCGTTATGAGGTCGCTATAAAACAGTCAAGCATGAATTTTCTACTTTGCTTTATCGCCTCGTAGGCCACTTCCTCCTCCTGAGCTTTTCACCTGCTGCTGCCGTCGCCGCTGGGAGATGTGAATACAACTTAACCAGTCCGGTTTTGCCAGCGAGCAGCAGGCAGTGCGTCCTGCGTGTTGCGCTGTACGAGGCCGGTCCGACGGCGGGGAACCTCACCGTCCTCATCAAGCCGGTTCTCTCGGGTTCAGCCGTTCACTCCGACGTCGTCCACAGCAGGAGAGGAGATCGCCGCAGGTCAGCCAACACGAAATATCTCAAGAACTCAGAAGAAGCTTCCTGCTCATTGTGGTGGTCGTCTGTCGATGGCCCGTAAAAAGTGTTCACCTCCCCCTGAAGTTTAGTTTTAACGCTGAATCACATCAAAGTAAAAACAGATTTCCAATAATTACAAACACTTACGCAATCACGTTTTATATTTGGAATGAGCTGACCTTGCTTTGTTGAAATCTGTTTTCATTTTGACGTGAAAAAAAGTCGTATTTTTATTCGTCTCCAAATCACCAAATAAAACTCACCATGATTCAGTAACGAAAAACAATAGAAGGGGAAACCTCCTAACGGGAGTGAATGCGTTTTATAGGCGCTTACATCTGTGTGTGCAGCTCAGCAACGTCCGTTCACCAAAACCCTGCGTCTTCACTGATTGGAGAGCTCATCAAGTCCAGGTCTTGCTTGTAAAGTGAATAAAAGGTAAAATGAGAAGTGACGCGGCCTTCAGACTCCACAAGGGCACAGGAGCTAATACGTTTTAGCTCTGTGGTAGTAAAGTTTAAAAAAGGAGCATTTTCTTTAGCTGCCATGTGGGACAAACTGTAGCGCTGTGAGGAACCGAGGTCCCCCGAGTGGTTCTTTGAGAAATGCAGACAGGTACTTCCTATTGATCTAATGCTGAAGCACAGAGCAGCTAAAAGCATTCTCGTCTCTGGATGCAGACTGGAAATGAATTTATATGTAATTGGTTAGGACAGAAGAGGGATGGATGGGCATGTGCAATAAGTTTGTCCGCTTGCTTTGTTAGTGCCTGCGCAGTAATGGACTGTGCAATCCCATTATGAGGCACAAACAGACAGTGGTTACGTTCATTAGGCATGCTGTTCATCCCATACAAACCAGTGGATGTACAGCGCTGAACACATTTACTAGAGAAGCACTTGATGATGCTGGATGGTCTCTGAGACAAACAGGGGAAGATGTAAAGTGTTCTCAGGTATACTTTGAAGTCGTTTGTAGAGACTGGTGCTGAAAAACACTCCAAGGAAAAGGCAGGAAACAAAAGTTCACTGGAGCAGATGTCAAGATTTTAAGTAGGAAGATGAAAGCTTCCAGATCAGAGTCTGAGGAAGTCTCCAGAATGACCGTAAGCAGACGACTGATGCAACAAGCTGCTAAGAAGCCATTACTGAAGCCCGCAAACGTCCAGAAACGTCTCAGATTCACCAGCGAGCACAAACACTGGACTGTTGGTGACTGGAAGAGGGTACTCTGGAAGGATGGGTCCAAGTTGGACCTCTTTGGTCGGCATTGCTGGAGGAAGCTGGAGAACATTTTGATGCCAAACACAATGGAGACTCCATTATGGTACGGGGTGGCATTTGTGGAAACGGCGTGAGCAAATTAGTAAAAATCGACGGTATCATGAACACGACCACAACAACCTGGTGCATCATTGAATCCCTTCTGGACTGAACCTGATTGGTCGTGGATTCATACACCAACAAGACAATGAGCCCAAGCAGACGTCAAAGCTGTCCATCCATCCATTCATCATCTATACACCTTAGGAGCTGGAGTCTATCCCAGCTGACTCAGGGTGAAGGCAGGTTCACCTGGACAGGTAACCAGTCTATCACAGGGCTACACTTAGAGACAGACAACCAAGCACACTCACATTCACACCTACGGACAATTTACAATCACCAATTAACCTCAGCATGTTTCTGGACTGTGGGAGGAAGCCGGAGAACCCGGAGAGAACCCACGCTGCACAGGGAGAACATGGAGACTCCACGCAGGAAGATCCCGGGTGTCCTCACCGGAACGCAAAACACTAAAAAAAAAAAACACGCCAGAAAAACTGCAGCCTGTTATTAGGCCAAAGGAGGCCACACAGAATATTAAGGTTTTATATTATTATGTGTGAAAGGGGACTAATTAGTTGTTTCAGTTTATTTGCCAAATAAATAATAACATTAACAGCAAGTTTTTGAAAGATTTCTAGAGTATTTCTGTTTTCTTGTTTTTGTGACGGGTGTCTCATGAACTTGTTAAGCGCCGTAACCTCTTGATCCGCTCTTGGTTTAAAGCACAGCGACACATCTTTGCTGCGATGTTTCACCTGCACAGAGGAGCATTATTCCTGTGAAACGAGGCTTAATGACCATAGAAATTACCCTGTGGGTGCATTATCTTGACTTCCCTGTACGGTGTGTTCGATGCTGTGGCAGCTTACGGGTATTTTTAGAACCGGAGTCAGAGAGGTGAAGGGAAGCGTAGTGAAGGCGCTGTCACAGGTACAAGGCGGCATTCTGAGGTCGTACAATAAAAAAAAAAAAGAAAGAATAGTTCAGCTGCGGGTGAACTCTAATCCATGGTGCCGTCTATAATCACAGCATCGTGGTGCTGCAGCTTTGTGAAAATTGTGGCTTGTCAGGTGGATGCTGCATGTTAAAGGCCCCCCGTGGAGCAGCAGAGTGGCAGCGAAGGGTTTTGTCTTTCCTGGAAATTACAGTTGACGCGCGCACAGGGATGATTATGTTGCATGTGTCAGCGTGTAGCGTTATATTTCTGTCGACAGCGTGCGGACAACGGCAGCAGCTACACGCCAGAAAAGGTGACGGTGTGCTAAAAAAAGAACAAATGAGTCAGAGGAAGCAGATCGATGCATCAGAAATAAAGAAGTGACACAAAACTACACGGCATTCCTCCTCCACACCAGGTTTATTCCTGCAAAATTCCTAGAAAAATATATATTTAAAACTCCAGATTTCAGTTCAGTCACATATGAAAGTTAAAGGAAAATAACTTTATTTTCATGTTTGTGACCAATTAGTTCTGTTCTGTTTTTATGTTTTGTTTTATCACGACTACATAGTTCAGAAAATATCACCAGTTGACTTCTGCGTTATTAACTTATTTGTTCATTTGTGCTCAAAAATGTGACGTTTTTTATGACGGCTTTATTTTTTGTTCATATTTCAGCAAATCAGAGACTATTTAATCTAATTGTCTGATGTGCTGTTTCTGAAGGAACGGCATGATGAGAGTCAGAACAGTCAAAAAAATGTGCTAAAAGTGGGTCAACAGAACTGAAAAATCTCAGAAAATATTTGATATATCAACCTAAAATTATCCCAATTTTACACAATAAACAATTCAGGCAAATCGGAGCTGATTGAGCAGAAACATCTGAGAGGGAAAAACTCTGCTGGGTGGAAAAGTGAGGATTGTGTAAAGCAGTGTGTTCAGAGTAAAGGCTGAGCTGCACTGTTTGAGTTTTACCTGCTGCTCAGATAGATGCAAAGGTTTAATTCTGAAGGCAGCAGAGGACAAAACAATAATGATTTACAGCATCATATACAGCAAGAGGGCGAAGCCAGTAAAGAAAGAAAAATGACCTGTTTACACATTTTAAACGTTTTTTTCTCCTCCCCAATCCCAAAGCAGCTTTAACAGGATGTAAAAGACGTTCTGACGTCCTACAGATGTCTTTTCTCTGTGGTGGCTTCATGCAGGGCGGAGTGGGAGGTTCTGGAGAGCGCCATCGGCCTGGTGGACGAACCCTTCCAGGTGACGCTGCTCTACTCGTCCTGTGCAGCAGGAGACGGAGCCGCTGTGGCGCTGGACTCTCTGGAGTTCACAGACTGTGAATCGGGTGAGTTCAGCTGTGATCAGACGTTTCCACTCAAACCAGATGCTGTAATGGCTGCTTCCTCTGATAAGCATCTTAGAGGGAACCAGCTGGACACTTGATTTGACTTACAGATGCACATCTGGAAACATATTGTGTAACGTTTCCAGAGCGGCGAGGAACGCTGGACGGCTTCTCTCTGCAGATTATCCAATTGCTTGTTGACATATTGTTTTTGCAGCTTTATTCAACTAAACTTTTGCTCAAAGTGGCTAATACACTCATTCATGTGTTGATGAATGTCAGCATGCAAAAGATTTGTCAAGAAAATGATATTTATTGAAAGTTGTTGGAGGTGAATTTGCTGTCTGACCTGATGAGCAGTAGCTTCACATTTCTTCTGCTGCCTGCAATACAGACCAGTGATTCTTGTGTTAGACTAAGCTGTTCTCTAAATGTCGCTTCATGTCTGTAAATTTTAAATTAAAAATGATCCCAGTTTGCTCTAAAAGCCCTTTTGCTTGCAGCTTGTGAGGAGACTAATTCTAACTCTGTGCTCTTGTTTAAGTCACTTCTTAAAACACATTTTTATCTGAAAGCTTTTCCTGATTTTATCTAAACTTTAAGTTTTATAGCTTCCTGCTTTATTTGTGTGCTTCCTCCTTCTATCAATGGTTCTGTGTGCTTATTGCATTTTAATTTATTTTTATTGGAAAGCACATTCATTTTAATTGCTCTATAAATAAAGTTTATTATTCTTATTATAAGGCAGCGCTCCAGTACTGTGTAACCATTCACCTGTTGTGTGCTTTGCTGGGATGCAGATCATCAGGACGACGAGCAGAACGCAGCCTGTGAGGAATCCTTCCACTGTGAAAACTCAGGAGGCTGCATCGACCAGAGCCAAGTGTGCAACTTCCACACGGACTGTCCGTTAGGAGAGGACGAGGGCTTCACCTGTGGTGAGGTTTTACTTTTTTAAAAAGAAAAAGAAAACTGGTTGTGCTGACATCCCACATATAGGGGCTATAGCTCCCTGACGCAGCAGTCGTGGGTTCGAATCCCACTCATGACCCTTTGCTGCAGGTCCTTCCCCCACTTTCCTGTCTCTCTTTCAACAGTCCTATCTAATAAAGGCCAAAAAATATCTTTAAAAAAGGAAAAATAAAACCACTGGATGCAGAATAGGTTTTGTTAGGATGAATGATTTTGAGTCAGGTTTGATGTGCGGCGCTGCATCGTGTCTGAAAGAGTCGATAAAGTATGTATGAGTGGATGAAGAGCAGCTTAGGGTGCAGCAGTCCTGAAGCAGAAAGCAGCCTCATTGACGGCCTGTAATCCATTTGCATTAGCTGTATAAAATTTAAATCCATGATAAACTGTTAATCCTTTGACCAGAGGGGCCAGATTATTTCATGCCAAGAGCCGTAAGTTTGGGGAGGAACTATTACATCGATATTTGAAGCCTGTCCGATGATCATTTGCATCAAAATGTTTTCACCAGCTTGTGTTTTTTTCTTTCTTTCATTAGCTGGGAATTATTTTATTGTCTTGTTACGAATACGATGTGTTTTTTTCCCCACAATTATCATTTTGAATATCTCATCTAAACTCAAGACATTCAGCCGCTGATGGGAGCCTGTCGGGTTTCAGATACGTGCATCGTGGGTTTAATGTTTTGATAAATTAGCCGCACAGAACGTGTGTTTTCAGACAGTCGGTCTCTTTCATTTCCTTCCACTTCACAGTGTAAAATATAACAAGCTCGCTCTCTCTCTTTGAAAACATCAGTCACTCTGCCGAGAATCAAAAGGCCGCGCTTCGCTCGCTAATGAAATCAATGCAGTCAGGGCTGCTTAGACTCCGTGAGTTGTGGTTCCCGGAGGGTGAGGAGCGAGGTCACAGCGGAGGAGTCGTTTTTTTTCAATGGAGTAAGATCTATCTGTGTGAGTGCTCGCAAAATGCCCCCTTTGTGATGTAAGGCTAAAACGGCCCGCTGTGACATTTCATAAAATGGCTTTTTGTCGTTTCACTCAGTTTGAGATGTAAAGATTGACGTCGGTTTATTCTCTGAGCTCGGTGGAGAGATGACTGACATGTTTAGTTTACCTTGTTTTAGAGAGCAGCGTGTCCTACTTACAGAGGTTTGTTCTTTGTAGTTGCAGAACATATTGAAATTAAAAATACAACGTGCACTTTCAATCGCAACCAAGTTGTTTTTGTGCCGGATATGAAGACCGTCTCATGTGAATGTAAAAATGCAAAACAAGGATATTTTCCAGAGTCTTTGAGGAGTCAGGACGCTCTGACCTGCAGATGCACTCCAGATAGAACGATAACACGTAGCATGGACACACATTTTCACATTAACAAATACCCTCCTCATATCAGTCTAGCATGTAGCTCTTGCTTTGGAAGAATCAGAGGTAGAGGATGAACTTTATATCGCTGTGAAGCATGCTAACAGTCTGCTTCCTTCCCAGATGCTCTTCCCTTTGGCTCGTACTGCTCATTTGAAGGGGATTCCTGCGGTTGGTCGACGTCCAGCCAGCGCTCGGGCTGGAGGAGGGTGGCTGGAGATGAGCTTCTGGAGAAAGAAGACATGCAGGGCGTCACTCTGCAGAGCACACCAGGTTGGCAGGGTTTGCTCTATGTGTGAATTATAGGCTGGTGTTATTACTGTTCCTTTAGTGGATCTCTTTCCGTTATGAGGATTTATTGTGGAACGGGGAGATGTCACAACAGCCTAGTTTGTTTAAAGATTCATAGATCACCTTTTCTTTAATGGGAGGGGATGAATACATTTGACTGTGTTTGTTAAATTTTTGGCTTAAAGAATACAAAAAAAACAAACTAATGACCTAGAAGGAACATGGCGTGGTTAATGCTGTGCCGTGCCACCAGGGCACTTCCTGTTTCTGCAGGTAACAGAGAGTAACTCTGTCCAAGAGGCGTCCATTCATAGCTTCTTCTTCCCTCGTCCGGTCTCCACGGCCGCCTGCCAGGTGAGTCACTAACCCAGACCGAGTCATTGAGTTTTTTTATTTGAGTGTCTTTGTTGTTTTTCTCTCTGTGCAGCAGCGCTTTAGCTCAAATCGTATTAAATGTCTCTCCACGTTCTGCCTCTGCGTTGGTGTAGATGCGCTTCTCTCTGTACATGTATGGAGAGTTTAATGGTTCGCTGCTCGTGGCCATAGAGGAGAACGGGACCAGCACCGCTTCGCTGGTCTGGGAGAGAAATGGGCAGTGGACAGATGACTGGGTGGACGTCGCCCTGCAGCTGACTGGTCTTCATCACGGGTGTGTCATAAGAAAACAAAAGAGTAGAAGAGTGAATGATTTTTATAAACATGAAACGCTACAGGGCTGACAGGTGGGAAGAAACCTCCACTGTGTTCGATCCTGACTGGTCCTGTCTCCATGTCAGGGATAATAAGGAGTTAAAGTTTCTCTTGCTCCTGCTTTGGAGATGCTCATACGTTCAATGCTGCAGTTACGTAATAAACTCAGAGGAAAGACTCCAAACTGAACTTCAGCTCTTGTTAACATTTGGCGAAAACTCAGATTACATTTGTTAGTCTCTTTAATCAGAATCATCGTTAGTTTTTTTGTTGGTTTGTTTGCTTTTTGCAGTAAAGTTTTAATTTTAAGGACATTTCAGTTTGTTAAAGATGTGAAATTGTAACATAAATTTAATCAGAAAAGACGTTACTGTGCTAAAATCTAGAAAAAGCCTTCTTTCCTAAATCACTTCAAGTCCATTAATTCAATGGCCTGTATTTCAGACTTATAGCGTTTTGAAAGTGTGACTTACTAAGTTAAATATTTTCCTTTCTGTAGTTTTCTGTGTCAGTGATGGTGAAGGTTGAGGAAGAGTTCATCCTTTAGACTGGATATAATCATATTTACTTCTGTCAGTAAAGAATATTTGATTATTCTTTACACTGAGCAGTTTTGTGCACTTAGTCTTGTTGTATTGACATAAAGCCGTGAACTGTGAGCCTCTGATATAGGACTGCTTCCCTCCAGGTTCCATGTGAAGGTGACGGCTGTGTGGGGAGAAGGCTCCAGCGCTGACGTGGCCCTTGATGACATTGCAATCGGAGCGGCGTGCTTCACCACAGGTAAACTGTGACGGCGATGATAGACGCCATTATTTCTGGTCTAATGTATATTTGAGGCAACAATTAAGTGAAGCTAAAAAAAACCTGTTCTCGTCCGTCTTGTTTTGCCTCACGCCGCTCGTCTTTACTTTTCGAAATGATCTTCAGACGATCAAAGTTCTGCTGAACGAGGCGGAGAACGAAGGAGCACAGCGAGTCTAGACTGCTGCTTTTTCCTTCAGAGCTGCAGCGATCTGTCTCCGGTCGTTTGTTTGAGGCCCTGTTTCAGTGATTGGTTGTGACACGAGGGTAACCGACGTCTAACGATTTGCTGCAAATGCAGCACCGCAATACGACAACACTGCTGCCAACATTCCTGTGTGCTCTCTTGCTGCCTTGTAGGTTTTGAATCTTACAAGCCTCTTCAGAGCCAGAGTTAACGCACATATGTGAAAGTGTTTGTTTGTGCATAGGATGGTATAAAACCTTCGAGGAGGTGCGCAGCTGTTGCTCAGCTCCAGTTGGGCCACACTGGAGCGGTTCCTTATTGATACTGGAGGTTAATTCAGGATCTCGGTGTAATTGCAGCCAGCCATAACCAGGAATAATGTTTTTTACTCATCACATTTACAATGTCCGCTGCCGCGATCTTTAAATGCTGCAAAGGCTTGTAATGTTGAGATCGGGAAGGCTCTTGTTGGGTAAACAAACTGGTTGGAGGGAAAGGGCTTGGCAAAGGACAGTGCACCGATTTAACCACCAATAAACAGACAAAAATCAGAATGTCTTTGTTCTACATGATGGACAAACGGGACAGAGTGAGGAGCATCGTGTCAGATAGCATCTCTTGTTTATTTAGTTGTTATCATATTATAAGCCATGATCCTGTGGAATCCAGACGGGTGATTTCTTTTCTCTCTTTCTGTCTTCCTTTATCTCCCCCGCCGCTGTTCTCAGACCTCAACTCTCTGCTGCCCATGGCGGACTTGGAGGATTTCTTAAGCCCTCTTCCGGAGCCTTCGGCCTCAGGTATTGTGCAGCAGTCACCTTGTGAGTTCCTGAAGCATCAGTCCTATGCCATCTGGGTCACGTATAATCCCTTCTGTATGCAGAATTTGCATAGCAGGTGACGGATTGTATACTTCCAATTTCTCTATGCTTGAAGGTTTATCTGCTTTATCGGCTGACCAGAAGCTCTTAATCCACTTTGCATTCACTCACATACCAGGTGCTTAATGCAATTTCCAGTGACGCTCATGGAGGTTGTGCCTTATGTGTGTTTTCTTCATCTTGTGTATTTCTTTGAATTTTTCTTCTCACAGCTCAACAACTCACGCTGCTCTGGCCACCGTCTCTTTCCTTTGTCTCTCTTTCTGCAGAGGTTTCTCTCATGACTTGGTGGTTCAACTCCTGCGGTGCCAGCGGACCTCATGGCCCGACCCAAGCCCAGTGTGACAGCACCTACAGGAACAAAAATGTCAGTGTGACGGTGGGGAAGGAAGGCCCTTTGAAAGGAGTCCAGATGTGGAGGGTGCCTGCGACCAACAGATACCTGTGAGTGGCCGAGGAGATGGTTGTGATGCTGCTGGACGTCCAGAATGTTGCCAGAAAATCACATGAAAAGACCAAAACTAACAACTAGTACTGAACTTTTTCCTCGCTGCTATGGACCTACATTGTCCAAAACCTATAAAAAGCACAGAACTGAGCCACCATTGCACAGGGAAATGGTTTTCATTACTATAAACTTGTGCAACATGGTTTATTGTGATTTAATCCTACAAACACTGCTGTAAATACGAGCTGCAGATGAAGGTTTTGCCCAAAAAACACCACTTACTTCTGTGTGTGTTTGTTTGCTAAATGTTCCAGTGCATTAGTGGTTTGGTTAATTATCTGCACAGACTTTAAAAAAATGCATCTATACATAAGAATTTATGTGCTTGGGGTGTTGGAAAGACCGTGATGTTGACTGATTTGCTGGAGGATTTGCTGACAATAACAGAAATATAAAATATTGCCAGTCTTATCGTGTAAGCCAGGTAGCCAGTGGTGTCGAGTCAAGTCACTGTTAAGTCACTGTTATTTATACAGCACTTTTAAAACAACAGGCATTGAGCCAAAGGGCTTTCCAGCAGAGAAATTAGATTTGCATTGCAAATGTACCCACCAGCTTAAAACTCTACTCTGTGATTTATG